TTCAGGAGTGAATTATTGACACAAGATATTAAATGTTTCTATCCAAATATTCTTTGAACGAAACTGCAAGTCTTTCATATTAAAACGAGCATGTTTCTCCAACAATACCAACACCGTTTTGCGATTTTTATAAAACGAATTGGTGTTTTGTTCAATTATTGTTATAACGTTTATAAGCAGTAAACAAAGCCCCTCATGTTTTATAGAGCTGTTCAGTTTATGTTCTTAGAACAGAATTAGCATTTTAGAGCAATGGTTTCCCCTCGAGATTTTCCTATTTTCTTTCCTAGTTTTTTTTTTTAAAGGATGGCGGTTTAAATAAAAAAAACAAACATCTGTTTTGTTCAATAACATAAATTCACACCATAAAACCTTAGGCATGAAGCTGCAGTTTTTCTGAAATATGTGGCAGTTTGTTAGCACTTTGTTTTACAAAGCAGCTTCAAAATTCACATTTATTTGACTGTATTTTATGTTCACAATGTTCTTTGCAGGTTCAATATGGGTCTATGGTTTCTTTAACATCCATGGAATCTTTCCATTGCACAAAAGGTTCTTTATAATGGAAAATGGTTCTTTAGATTATTAAAATGTTCTTCAAACTAAGAAAAAATGTTTTAGGATCTGATCTCTAAAGGTACTTTGGGGAATCCAAAATGTTTTTGTGGCATCCCTGGAAAAAAAAAACACCTTTTGGAATTTAGGACTAAGTGTAGAACAAAATGTGAAAGTCTCTTCTACTAAATTAAACCACAGACCATATTTTGTTCTTTGACATAATCTGTATTGTATAAAGCGCTATATAAATAAAGGTGACTTGAATAAAGGTGACAAATAAAAAAACACTTAAAAAATTAGGAAGATTCAAAGTGAAGGAATACCCAATTATAGCCTCTTTTGCAATAGTCATTGGATAAACTGCAACCTTTTTTTAGCCTGGGTCTCAACCCAGTTTTTTACAAACTTGTTTACAAACTCATATGGTTGTAACAACAGGTTAAGATGTAACAAGAAAGCACATTTTAAAATATATGCAACACAGTCCCTGACTTATTCTTGGCAGGTAATATAATAAAGTCATCAAAATAGTGGCAAACAAATTAATAAGGCAGGTGGGAGGGCCACATGACCCATATACCCCAAAAAGCTTTTTATAGATTAAAAGATCAGGGGCTGTTTTCAAATACCTCAGACTGCACAAATTAAGTCAATTTTAAATCCAAAACACTTTTTAGCATCTAATGAAAAGCTGTTGTGTTACAGTTTTCTGTTTTAAAAGCAGAAATTGTTTGGATAACTGTTTTTGTTATTCACATTTCCTTCTGACCACAAGCCATGGAATCAAACATGATCTTGACTTAATCTTCTTATAAAACCTTAACCCAGCCTTAAATGCAGGGTGCTTAGATGTGTTAGCTGGCACTGAGCTTGACGGTGGCCATGCAGTTGAAACAACAGCTTTTTTAAGCAAAGAAAAGAGTTACTGTACAACAGAAAATGAAATTATAGTAGAGCTGACAGCACATCACAGCGGATGACATGTATCTCTCTATCCAAGTAACTCAACTGTGGGAGGAACTGAAGTCAAATCATCTCACCAAATACGGCACAGTAACTGCGGTCACAGCTATTAGTAAGTTACATAATGTCATTTCTTCTCATTCTAACTTTTGGTGGGCTAAAATAACATTACAGTCAGTTATGAACTAATGCAGTTTCTTCCATAGGTATTGTAGAATATAATAAACAACACAGAGCTATTGTGCTGAAGGTACAATGGTGTGCTCAAATGGTTTTTAATGTAGTTTAAGGGATTTGGTTATTTTTTTGAGGAATCTAATAGAATTCAGACGCTGTGTGATCATGTTTTTTTTCACTACACAGTAATATCAAATCCATTAATATATATATATATATAATTAAATTTATATTAATACTAATTAAGACTTAATAGAAATACACAAAAAATACAAAAATATACAAATATAATTGTATTATATTTCATTATAAAATGAAAACTGAAAATCTAAAAATAAAAACTAATTTAAAGTATTAATAAATACCATAAATAATACGAAAATAACACTGATGCCAATTCGAAATTGGATTTAGTTAGACATTTGTCTGATTTGCAGAGTGTTTACACAGCGATGGTACATATTTACTGCAATGTTTAAAAATAAATTTTTCCAAAATGGCTCTTTGTATCCTGGACCTCATAGATTTGATAAGGGCAATGAGCCAACTCTCCAAAAGTGCTTCCAAGCCAAATCTAAACTAAAAGCACTTTTTCATATTTTCAATATTTTCAATGTGTCAACCACATTTACAACATGTTGAATTCCCTTGGACTTGAATAAAAGAATGTGGCTTATAATAGATCTTCAAAAACAGGTTTGGTTCTGCTGAGAAGATGGATTGCAGGTGGAGTTTGCTGCTGTCGTGTGCGACTGGATGGGAAGACAGTCATCATTACTGGTGCCAACACTGGCATTGGAAAAGAGACAGCATGTGACTTGGCCATGAGAGGTAAACACACTGTTGAAATGTTTTGTCATTTTATCCTTACAACCACTGAAAGGTCTAGATCAGGGGTCTCTAAACTCGGTCCTAGAGGGCCGGTGTCCTGCAGAGTTTAGCTCCAACTTGCCTCAACACATCTGCCTGGAAGTTTCTAGTATGCCTATAGTAAGACCTTGATTTGCTGGTTCGGGTGTGTTTAATTAGGGTTGGAGCTAAACTCTGCAGGACGCCGGCCCTCTAGGACCGAGTTTGGAGACCCCTGGAGATCTACAGGAAATGGCAACATAGTAGTTCGACACTTAGACCTGGCATCTCTGTTCTCCGTTCGGCAATTTGTGCATGAATACACTGCCACTGAGGATCGACTGGATATACTTAGTTATTAACAATGCTGGTAAGACCTTAGACCTCATTATTAGTTAAGCAACAAATCAAACTGTGCTTTAAGCTGTATTGTTACTTATTGCACATTTTGTGTGAATAAACCCATAATTATACTATTAGGAGTGATGATGTGCCCTAAAAGCCTTACAGAGGATGGCTATGAAACCCAGTTTGCTGTCAATCATTTGGGTCATTTCCTCCTGACTGTTCTGCTCCTGGACATGCTGAAGAAGTCTAGTCCTAGTCGAATTCTTAATGTATCCAGTATTGCTCACAAAGGAGGTAAAACCCACCCATTAACATGATCCCCCAAAAGTCTATCCATAAAACTTTTGTTGTGCATGTGATAAACAAAATATGCAGGAAAATATCCATGTTTAATCCAGTCTATCTCAGAAATGGTATGGGATTTTATAGTTTATTTTTTATTTATTTAGACAAAAATAATACAGGATTTTAATATCAGACATTTATTGGTGATCAGCCATGACATGAAAATAATTATTGGCTTATATCAGTATCGTCAATAATTGTAATAATTTTCAGTCATGTTAAATGCTGAAAAGGGAATTTAGCCATCACAACCACATAATGTACATATGGAAATTCATATTAATTTTGAGATCTGCTAAAAATTACAGTATTATTAAATTATTTTTGTAAAGATGTTTTTGTAAAGCATTAGATAACAGCAAAGGTTGCTCATTTGCCCTTTTTTCACAATCTCAGTCTAACAGTGAATAATAACATGGTTATGATTTATTATGCATCTCTACTCAGTCAAATGTAAACATTTTTTCAGATAAACAAGAGACTGACAATATATTTCAGTTCGATGACCTTTCTTGCAGGTAAGATCCACTTTGATGACCTTAACTTCAACAAAGCACCATATGATTCCTTGGTCAGCTACAGGCAGAGCAAACTTGCCAACCTGCTGTTTACTCGTGAATTAGCACAGAGGATTAAAGGTTTGTGCGCTCATCCCCAATTAATCAGCCACGTTCAGACATATAAAAAAAAGCTTAAAAAACATTTTACAAATGATTATTGCATTAGGCTTGTTTATTCATGCTCTGTTTCAAATCAGGGTCTGGTGTAACAGTGTATTCCCTTCACCCTGGAGTAATCCGCACTGAACTGGGACGTTACGTGCAGACGAGCCACCCTCTGCTCAGCACCCTGTTGTCATTACCTGCTCTCTTATTGATGAAAACCCCCAGTCAAGGCGCTCAGACGTCAATCTACTGTGCAGTTACTGAAGGGCTGGAGTCTCACAGTGGCTGCTATTTCAGGTGAGCTGTTATATTCATAAGCCTTCACCATGAGTGTTATGGGTTTGTATTTTAATTTGTCTGAATATTTACCTTTCCTGATGTGTTTATGCTTGACACCGGATGATAATGAAATCTTTTTACAGTGATTGTAAGCTGAAGGAACCAGCTCCTGAAGGTAAAGATGATCTTGCTGCCCTGCGATTGTGGGAAATAAGTGCAAAACTTGTGGGCTACCATGAAGAGAACTGACAACACTCCACCAAGCTCTATTCATAATACCACATGCCTATAGGAATGCTTTGTATGCAGCTATCAACACTCATGATCATCTTTTCCATCTTTGTTGATTTTTTCTCTAATGGAAATCTTTATTTAATTGATTTTATGATTATTGATGATTAGTGGTTAATGGATCAGTACTGTATTCCCTGTCTTGCCCATGACAGTATGAAAGATAGTTGGTCTAATTTTAAAGCTGTTTTGAAGTATCTCATTTGATGATTAATAAAGGTTTCCTAAATAAAATTCAAATAACAAAAATTAATTTTAAAAAGTGTTGTTGACGCTGGTAAAATACTGTGTGTTAACTGTCTGTGGGAGTGAATCGTTCTTCTGAGTCGAATATTTCAGAAGAATTCGTTCATGAATCCGACTGAACTGGTCCGAGCACTGATTCATTCAATGAACCAGTATTATTTAAATACATTTATTAAAAATGACCAGCATTAAACTGGTAATGAAATTGTTAATAAAAGTCAAGTAACCATGCTATAAAACCACAGACTGTAAAAAAAACACATAAACGAATAAATAAACAATAGATGCTGGAAAAATACGAGTGTTCAGTGATGGTTACGCCTTTCTCGCCCTCACCAATATGGCGTTTTATTTACTCCGTTTTACGTAGCAGCCTTAAATTATGGGATATATTTATGCTCTACGACCTGTTCGCAGATCAGTTGAACTAGTTAATTGAACCTGCAGGACTGGCATACCGACTGAATTACAACTGTTCCCAAATCAGACGCGGACCGAACGCTCGCGTACACCGGAAATAGTTGAAAGCGCAGCCAGAGTTGTCTCGCATTGTCAACAGTATTGTGTATACGGGAGTTTACTGATGAAAAGAGTCCTTTATCGTTCGTTAAACAACTTTGAAACGATCTGATCAATTGACTCATTCTCACTGACAATTGGAACATAAATACGACAAAATGAACGTGACTCTGGCTGTCAAGCAGTACATTTCCAAAATGATAGAGAGCAGCGGACCCGGGATGAAGGTGCTGCTGATGGACAAGGAGACGGTAAGTGAATTCAAATTAGAGGACAGTTATATGCTTTTAAAGGTAAGAAAACGCAGATCAGTTCTTATGCCACTGATAGTCTAGTATTGTGTGCAGTGTATGGATTTTGCTGACCTGGTACATGTTATGTGTCTCTTAACCAAATGCAGCTGAACTGAACTCTTCATTTGTTTTTGAAGTATGGCTGTTTCAAAACATCTAATCAGCAGTCTACCTAGACATGTGTTAACTCTGATCTGCCACCAGTGACAGACAGTGATCAAAACATTACTTTCTTGTTCTCTTTTCCTCTGTTCGTTAATAGACCAGTATCGTAAGTGTGGTCTACACACAGTCTGAGATCCTGCAGAAAGAAGTCTACCTTTTTGAGCGCATTGACTCAAAAAACCGGGACAACATGAAGCACCTTAAGGCAATCTGCTTTCTTCGGCCAACCAAGGTAAGTATACATACAGGTGCATCTCAATAAATTAGAATGTTGTGGAAAAGTTCATTTATTTCAGTAATTCGACTCAAATTGTGAAACTCGTGTATTAAATAAATTCAATGCACACAGACTGGTGTGCATTGAATTTATTTAATACACGAGTTTCACAATTTGAGTTGAATTACTGAAATAAATGAACTTTTCCACGACATTCTAATTTATTGAGATGCACCTGTAGATTTAGACTGAGTATTCAAATTTAAGATGATTGAAATTATTTATTCATACTTGAACGTCTCTGGTTTCAGGAGAATGTAGAGCACCTGATTCAAGAGCTTCGTCGGCCCAAGTATAGTGTTTATTTCATCTGTGAGTGCCAGTAATATATCAGAAGACACACTGCATCAGTTTATCTCTCATTCATATGAGTTTGCATATGTGATAATAATGGTGGTGAGACGATGCACGTTTAACCAACTTTAGGACTAATTAATTATTTTGTGCAGATTTCAGTAACGTGATCAGTAAAAGTGAAATAAAGGCTTTGGCTGAGGCAGATGAACAGGAAGTAGTTGCAGAAGTGCAGGTGGGTGAAGTCTTCTTCATAATTGATATATAAATATATTTGTTCAAAATTATTCATAATTCTTCTTATCTACATCTCTGGTCTGTCTCTCCATCTATCCAATCCATAAAAAAATGAATAAATTAAAATCAGTGTTCATATAATGTATCTATCCAATCCATAAAAAAATGAATAAATTAAAATCAGTGTTCATATAATGTTGTCAAACTTTATAAATCTTGTTTCTCGTCAACCAATTAGATTTTGTGTTATTCTAGGAGTTCTATGGAGATTTCATTGCTGTGAACCCTCATCTCTTCTCCCTCAATCTTCAAGGAGTATCCAGGGTAAGAAAGAAATTAGGCTTTTGTCACATTTGAGCAGCCTTAACTCTTTTTATAGGGAACTTAGTGCTTGCCTTTTGTTGCTTTGTGTGGATTGACCTGCATTTAATTATTCCTGTATGAATCATTAAAGCAACTGCATGTATGTCGCAAAAATACACAAAACTTTACATGGTTGCTTATAAATGTATTTTGTCATTATTTGTTAATGATTAAGGTATGTTACAATACTGAACAGAAAACAGGTGGAGATAATTTACGTTAGATAACAAGATCTTAACTAATAGTGCTGCTTGGAATTATTATTATTTTTCTTCATATCTTTACGGCTATCTGACACAGATTTTTTCTGTTTTAGGCTCACTGTGAATTTTTCTCTGCATGTTTATAGGGTCGCAGTTGGGAGCCCAGTGTACTGCCTCGTGTAACTCAGGGTTTGACATCAGTGTTGCTGGCCCTGAAGAAATGCCCCATGATCCGCTACCAGCTCTCTTCTGACATGTCCAAAAGGCTGGCAGAGAGTGTCAAAGTAAGACTTTACTTCTTAATTATATCATAGATCTGTAATGTGCGTTATTAGTAATTTGATTGAATCTATATGTCATTTTTTGATAAAAATGATAACACAGATACAAATGTATGTGTATATATATATATATATATATATGTATGATCTGTTTGTGTTTTCCACAGCAAATCATTACTAAGGAGTATGAACTGTTTGACTTCAGAAAAACAGAAGTACCTCCTCTTCTCCTGATTTTAGACAGAAGTGATGATGCCATTACTCCCCTTCTCAATCAGGTAAGAAACCTGTCTGCTGTCTCAGTCTAAAAAAGTATCTTAGTAATGTTACTTACATCTTAATCTGGTAAAATCTGCATGCAGAATCCTAGACCTGACCACCAGAGGGAGAGGGATGCCATAGTTTTATTCTGGATTATATTAGAAAACTGCTAAAACAGTATGTTTTAGTGTTAAACATTAGTGTTAGACATTAACAGTATGCTTTTTATTCTTTTTCTATACTGAGAGATTTACAGCAGCCAGTGTGTCCTGCTTGCTTTTGCTGAAAACAGTTGTCATACTGCAGCAAAATAAATGTTACATAATGATTGCTGCAAATTCTACATGTGGATGCGTTTGTTTCCTCTAGTGGACATATCAGGCCATGGTTCATGAGCTACTGGGCCTCAATAACAACCGCATAGACCTGTCAAGAGTTCCTGGAATCAGTAAGGACCTACGGGAGGTGGTCTTGTCGGCAGAAAATGATGAGTTTTATGCAAATGTGAGTAGCTTATCGTTCAAAATATTATTGCTAGGTAGATCACATTAAAGAGTAATACATCTTGAAATTACATACTAATTAGATTTTATTTCCAAATAAATACTCCTATTTAAGTAAATACAAGTTAATAATGTAAAAAAAAAAAATTAAAACAAAGAAACACTGTATGTTGTTTTCTCTTAATAAGAACTTGTACCTGAATTTTGGTGAGATTGGAACAAACATCAAGAACCTAATGGAGGATTTCCAGAAGAAAAAGCCCAAGGACAAACAAAAATTAGAGTCCATAACTGACATGAAGGTGAGTGGACCACTGCTGAAGCCAGTTAATATTGTTATTTGTAGGAGTGATCCAGAACTATTATTATTATATTACGAAGTTCTGTTTTTAATCACCATTTTCTGGCCCTTTTGTAGGCATTTGTGGATAATTACCCACAGTTTAAGAAAATGTCAGGCACGGTCTCAAAACATGTAACTGTGGTTGGGGAGCTGTCTCGCCTGGTCAGTGAAAGACAGCTGATGGAGGTGTCAGAGGTGGAGCAGGAGTTGGCCTGCCAGAATGATCATTCCAGTGCACAACAGGTCAGAGTGCAGACATTGATAATAATATGAAATGTTTCTTGAGCACCAGATCAGCATATTGGAATGATTTTTGAAAGATCATGTGACACTGAAGACTGGAGTTATGACTGCTGAAAATAACTACAATTAATTTAGGATTTAAATTACATTTTGAAATATATTGAAATAGAAAAAAATATTTAAATTGTAATAATATTTCATAATATTACTGTTTTTACTGTATTTAATTGCAGCTTTGGTGAGTATAAGTAAGTTCTTTCGAAAATATATATCTAAAAACTTACCAACCCCAAGCTTTTGAAAGGTAGTGAATGTCCATCCACAAAGTTCCTTGTGATTGCCTACAATATTTTAAGATGAGATCTTGCACTGTTGCAAAAGATTACTCGTTCGTCTTTCTGCAGAACCTGAGGCGACTATTGCAGAACCCTCGGCTTTCTGAAATTGATGCTGTGCGGCTGGTGATGCTGTACGCGCTTCGCTATGAGAAACACAGCAGCGGTATTCTGCCCAGCCTTATGGAGGAGCTCAACCGCAAAGGGGTGTTAGAGAGACACCGCAAGGTGAGAGCCATCAGATCTGTCCTGTAGCACAATGACAGATCCAGATGAATCTGATCAAATCTAGTCATTTTATTACTAAAAAGGAAAGTGAGCTCAACTTTGCCTCCATCTGTGCTGCAGATGATACAAACCGTGGTGGAATATGGTGGCAAACGAATCAGAGGAAGTGAACTCATCGCTCCTACAGATGCTGTGGCCATTACCAAACAGTTTTTCAAAGGACTTAAGGTAGATCTTCTGTTTACCAGTGTGTTTTCTTAACATGTCATATTGCTGTAGTCACAAACTCAGAACTTGTTTATGTATTTGAATAGGGAGTTGAGAATGTGTACACACAGCATCAGCCGCTACTACATGACACGCTGGATCAGCTGATCAAGGGTCGTTTGAAGGACAGCCAGTTCCCCTACCTCGGGCCAAGTTCTCTTAGAGACAGGTGACATGAATACATAAGTAGTCTGGCATGCACACTCATGCATTAATGATATATGGCCACACTTACAGACGTTTAATGTGAGCGTTTTGATTTTGCTTTAAAGGTGAAGTGTATGATTTCTATAATAACGGAATGACTGTTTTCAAACATCCTACCTACCAGTTAAATTAGTTTTAAATAGTGTTTAATGTACAATACAGAAACTTTTTGCTTGGATTGAAAAACATGGACTGCAGCAGTTATATAAATGTACTCCTTCACACTCTGTCTCGACTCTTCAGACCTCAAGACATTATTGTCTTTATAATTGGTGGGGCCACTTATGAAGAGGCATTGACTGTTTATAACCTGAACCGCACAATGCCGGGGGTGCGCATCGTACTCGGGGGCACAATCATTCACAACACTAAAAGGTCAGTGTCTTTAAATGCTCTCAACGTAGTCGTCTCTTTTCACCATCTCACCTCTATCCATTTGCCCGCTGGCACACAAGCCTTTATGCCTTATTCAAGAAGGTTCCCGGTTACAGAGTGACATCAGCCCTAGAATGGCATTATGTAAAGAACATACAATTGTGCTGCTCGTATGACTTAACTGAATCATTCATTCTCATTCTGGAGGTTTCACTGGTAATCTAGAATATATGGGTTCTGGTTTCTTAGCACTCTCGCTTCCATTGATTTTGATTTCACTTGGACATTGGATTACTTATTTAATACATTAATTAAATATTTTATATATACACTACTACTTAGAAGTTTTGGGTCAGCAAGATTTGTGTTGAAAGAAATGAATACTTTTGTTCAGCAAGGATGCAATAAATTGATCAAAAGTGACAGTAAAGACTTTGATAATGTTACAGAAGACTTCAAGTAAATGATTTTGATTCATCGAAAAAAATCTACAAAAATATTAAGCAGCACAACTGTTTTCAACATTGATAATAATAAGAAATGTTTCCTGAACACCAAATCAGAATATTAGAATGATTTCTGAGAGTCATGTGACACTGAACACTGGAGTAATGGCTGCTGAAAATTCAGCTTTGTCATCATTTTAAAATATATTCAAATAGAAAGCAGATATTTTAAATTGTAATAATATTTTACAATATTACTGTTTTTACTGTATTTTTATTAAATAAATGCAGCCTTGGTGAGCTCAAGACTTTTTCAAAAACATAAAAAATATTATCATCCCCAGACTTTTATGAATTAATCTAAATTATTTTGTATATTCACATATGATGATGTGTGAAATAAACCCTGTATGCATCTTAATATTTTCAACCAAATAAATGTAGTTTAAGCTAAATTTATTAATAAAGCTTTAACTTATTTCCATCTAATTTAACTACAGCTGTGGCTATTATATGCTATAGCCATTAGATACTGGTTAACTCACTTGACACTTTATAAACTTCCTGAAGCAAAATATTTATTTTCAATGTATGTGGGTAAGCATTTTGCTTTCTATACCAGGTAATGCATCAGTATTTGTGATGTCAAATTGTTCAATCAAAAGTTCCAAACAAGGCTAGAAAAATCAATAAAATCAGTTTGTTTCAAAACTTAGCAAAATTCTAAAACATTTGGGTTTTAGAAAAAAACGTGGTCCACCATATTCTTTATTATTATTCTGTTACCCACAGTGGGTTGTGTAAACCTGACTCTGTCAAATACAGTGCTGACTGTACTCATGTATTATAAGCCACATATGTTCCCCTGATACAGCTTTCTGGAGGAAGTGAGGCTTTCAGTAGGTTCAGGTGGTGACAGAACACAAGGCGGAGGCCGTCAGCTGAGCCGACGTTGAGCTGTTATCAGCATATTAATGTGTGCTTACACTCCCAGTGCTGTCTGTCCTCTGAACCCTAAACTGAGTAAATTTTTCTTCTTTGTTTCTCACCTGACATTCCTTGAGTTAAGAAAATGGTAACATTGCACGATAAGGTTTAATTCATTAACATTAATGAACAATTAATAACAATTTGAACAGCATTTGTTAATGTTAATTCTAATAATGAATTGTTAAAAATGTATCAATATATGTGGAAATTTGCAAACATATATAGAAAACATTAACCTAGATTAAAAAATATTGTAATATTATTCATCTTTTTTAGTTCACGAGACCTAATGTGTTAACTAATGTAAATGATTTGAAACATATTGTAAAGTGTTATCAAAAAAATATACGTAAGCAGAAGTGTTGATGATGTGTGAAACACTGTAAATGTGCATAACTTTTGTGATCGTATGTAAATAATGTTTCAGATGCCCCAAAAATGTTCACAGTGACAGCATTTTGTATTTATTTGCTTGGTGTTGCTGCATTTGATTGTTTCTGGACAGATGACTACTGTATGTTTCAGTAAAAAAAAAAAGTATATATACATATCTTATGAACAAAAATTTTACAGGCTGTTTTGTCTATATATTTAACTTGAGTTACAATAATGTAAATTGGTTGAATCAAAGGTTCCCAACAAGGCTAGAAAAACCAACTAAATCAGTTTGTTTCAAAACAAAGCAAAATTCTAAAACATTTGTCCACCATATTCTTTGTTATTTGTATTCACATCCCTATCCAGCTAAATTAAAAGACATGCTGCAGATATGCAGACATAGATAAACTGTTGTCTTCTCGTTATTAGCTAGAGCTTAATTCAATCGGTGCACAATAACTGTAATATTAATGTCTATCAAAGTCTTTTAACAACTAATATGGCCTTTAATTTATAATTTTTTATGGCAGTTCTTGGTAGACAAATTTAGACACACCACCTTTGAAGAGTCTAAATCGGCTAACATTAAAGTCTTGTATAAAACACCTTTGTTTTTATATCTTGGTGTGTCTTTTTTTCATATGTCCTACTAATTTTTTAGTAGGACATATGAAAAAATGGACAACGTAGTATGTGACAATATTTTATCATGCTCTTCAATAAATGAAAAGAACAATTAGCATCAACTGATTGTTGGAGTTGTTTATCCAATAACCTCAGACCAACACATTTTCATGGTTTTTGTTATCACCAAAGCCTCAGTTCACAGTCTGTAATGCCTCAGATGATTTACTGATGAAACTGTATCAAGTAGGCTGAGTTTAGCCCATTACTTTAACCTCCAGAGCTTAACCCCCCTAGACACATTCAGGTTGCTCCACTGTAACTCCCCTTCCTCCACTCCTCTTCCTCCCTCCTAAATCACATCCATTAATCCCCACCATCAGCCAGAGTACCATCAGACCTGAACGACTTAATAGCTTTACTGCATCAAGCACACAATTTGCTGTGTATGGATAAAGAAAGAAAAAAAATGTTAAAGGTTGCTTATGATGAGTCAGTAAAGGGTCTGGTAGATTTCCAGAGAGATTATATCACACTTGATGTGTTGTACCGAAATTCACATAAATACAGTGGAACAAAAATCAGGTCCAAGATCCATTTGTTATTACAGATTTGGGTAAAATAAATATCTTAAGCTATCCTAGGCAAATGTAGAATGCTTTGTCAACCCGAGGGAAACATTTCTTGCTCTGTTTTAGAATAATGTGGTCAATTTATGTAGACAAAGAAGCTTAGAGCAGTGTAATTATAGTCATGTAGTTTGTTCTTCTGAATATGTGCTTTTTCAGAGCTTGTAGAAGGGAATATCCTAGGAAATTCCCCTATGTGCTTGAGCTACATAAGTTTATGTATTTTGGAAGTTTTATTGTAATTGTTTTTATTAGTAATATTCAGATCTGTGCTCTCATTTGTTGTCATTTTTAACGTTTGCCACAACTGGCACACATTTCTTTTTAGGTTTACTGAAACAACGCTGCTGCATGAGTGTTTAGTAAAGAACTTGTCACACTTTTATTTCAGTGTATCTCTCTCAAGGTAGGTTTATTTTTGAAAGTTAATTTCTTTATAGATGCTTCGACTACAAAAAGACATCGAACATTTCCTATTACCCAGGGGGAAAAAGGCAGCTTATTTTGTGACAACATGCCCCAATAGTATGTTTTCACACTATATGGGGAAAACTGTCACAATGGAACCTGCATTTATTATGTAGTTTCAGCAGAATCTAAACAGTTAATCGGTTATGTAGAAAAGTGATGCATAAAACATAAAAAATGAAGTAAATGTAATATTTCTAAACTTGCCCTGCCTGCAATTTATGAAAAATATCTTTGCCTCAATATGCCAGTGTTGTTTCATTGTGTTCATCTATTACCTAACAGTTATTACAAAATAATGATTTTGACATTTTAATTAACAAAAATATTCTAACATATGAATAAATCTTAATATCTAAACATGTGGACAACTATGGACAACTTTTGTTTGTGATAGCTATAGTCCCACTTTCCTCCACACTGTTTCTCAATGCAAGTTATTCACTTCTAGCTTTATATCTGCTAGATAGATACCACATTATAAAACATAACGGCCTATATTCTTGAATTCATTAGGTTACACAAATAAACAGTTATATTGGTTGTCACTGAAAATAACTATATCCTTTGCTGTACGCCGATTTGCATTGTGTTTAGGTTGTTGATGATGGGGAATAAAAAGAAAGCCACTGAAGTTCAATATGCAGCGCGACATCACACCGACAACTGTGCTCGTTCAATAGATGGAGCAGTCGAGCTCTATAAACGGGAAAATCCGTTTCGGTGAGAAGCACAGCAACTCGGACTCACCCAAGCCAATGGAGAGCCTGTGCCCGCGGTTTGCAAACCGTCAGTGTAGAGACTGGCAGTCGATCAGCTCTGAGAGCCAGCACCTCGTCCCGTCTATAGCACCGGCACGCGGCAAATTCACAGCTGAAGATAAACAAAAACATCTCCGTTTCTTCTAGAAAGCGGGACAGATCGCGGAATATACTTCGGAAAAGACACATTTTGCGAACAGCATGAAGAAAAGCCATTTGGTCAAAAGGGTGAGAATTGTATACACTGAGTCTATGATGGTGGACATTTTGATTTTGAATGCTCATAATTTAAAAGTTTAATTTGAACAGTGACTGAATGTACAGCGCAAGTATTTGTGTCCTGTTTAGTATTTTGTGCTTCTGTAAATTAATTTAACAATGACTCCTTTGTTATGAAACGCCGAATGTGAGACCGTATATGTCCGTTACACTCCTTCATTATATGCTGTAGTCACTCATTTAATTGACACATATTTTATTCTGTTTAACAGAATATTTAATTAACCACACCCTTAATTGACTAACTGACAGTAAATCATTTTGGGAAATATATATATACCCCCTAAATAATAGACCGCGGTAGAGTGAAAATGTGACTTTTATTAGGGTGCAATAGCCTGTATCAGGCAGTATTAATATTTATTTCTTTAATCGAACTAGTAATAATTTTTTGTTCCCAGTATATTTTTATTAGTAAGTAATCCAATACTACTACCCTGTCTTTTTAAATGTACTTTTTTTGCTTATTCCAGTTGTGAGTCCAAATTAATTAGCCTAGACATTCGGCACTAATAGTCTAATTCTTAGCTACTAGTCACTCAATGGTTACTAGTAGGGTATCTATTCCAGCTTTAGTAGTACTTATTAGATAATATTACTTCATGACACTAATATGTAATCCAGTGTAATATGTATATGACACTAATATGAATTCCAATTGTTGCAAGTAACATTTCTCACTAGTCACAATAGTTTTTTTGCTTGCCATATGACAGCAAATGGTTCAATTAAAAATCTTTTTAGATTAAAAATGTTACTAGTAAAACATTTTATATGCACTAGTACCTAATAAATAGCTACTGACGAAACTGGTTCTAGTTATTAGTAAAAGTGCTAAGTGTTTGAATATGTCACGGGACATACTAGGACTTATTGGTTAAAATACTAGTGAAAAGGAGGCCAGTCACTATTGGAAGACTTACTAATAGTTAAAAAAATAAGTATTAATATAACAGATATGGAATAAATGTTATGATGGCTTAGCACAGTGCAGTGTGACAGAGATCTATTTGAACTCATATACTGTTATGACGGGCGACACATTAACCGGGTCATTGTTGGCACACTCAGGGTCTTCAGGATCTCAACCAGCCATCATCCCAACCAGACAAAGTAGGCTGGATCCGCAGGTTCAGTGGCAAAGGAATATTTAGGGAAATATGGCGAAATCGCTTTGTGATGCTTAAAGGAGATCATCTGTACATCTTTGAAAAGGAGGTGAGTTATTAAGATTTTAGTGTCAAAGAATGCATAATCATAATGATTTCATGCTCAAAATGATCAATCAAAACACTGAAGGACATGTCAGATTTCCAAAAGTATACCATGCCAACTACTATATAGTGAGTATGAATGTTAATAATTAATGTTTGCCAAAACCTCCTGCCCTTGATATAAAAGACATACTTTAGCTAAATCAAAGTAATCCCTTTGACAAGCTATAATTTTCGAAAGGGTATTATATAAACACTGAAAATTGAAACTCAACTGTGGCCTCAAACCACAAGCAGCATGTGAACCTGTGCTTGTGTCATGGATTTTGTGTCAGTGCCTGTACCAAAGATCCCTGAAGGTTCTGGAAGTTACTTACAGATATTCAATTGAATTTAAATTCCGGTTCATTGTAGGAGCAACAAATCTTTACAATTGAATCATTTGCTCACTTGAAGCATGTGTAGAGGGATGGTTGTAATTTTCATGGAAGTGTAGCAGCTTGTTTCTGTCACTGCCTGTAGGCTTTCATCAGTTTCACAGAACCATCACATAACAGCATACCATCATGGAAAACTATACAGCGGTGCCCTGGTTTGTGACATAAGTGATATATGTTGCACATCCCTCATTCGCACAGCTGCTGTCTTTTGGATGACGTTGTTATTTACATTAAAAGATTCAAGACCCAGCTGCTACTCTCTCGCTCACTGGGGATGCTCAGGACTCTAAATCCAGTGTCACACCATCATAAGAAACTGGCCATGTGTTTA